GATCTCGTACCATGTGATTTCTTTCTCTTTCACCGCTTGAAAGCAAAGCTACATGGTTGTAGATTTCTGTCGTCCAAGGAGGTCGTCAATGCCACAAGAGACGCCATACAGGAATTTCCCACCAGTATGTTTCACCAATGTTTTCGGCAGCTATATCAACATTGGCAGACTTGCATAGTGGCCAACGACAACTATTCTGAGGGCTGATGTGGATCTGAGTAAGTGTATGCAAATACCTTGTAATATGATGTGATAAAACCACAGTCCACGAACTTAATGACTGTACCACGTATAACCACAGGGAAGCTATGACACTTTTGCAAACCCCACCAGAATATCAAATGAAAGTTCTGTAAATGATATAGTGTTAACGAAGAGAGTGCTGAGTAAGCTCAGCTTGTCGCTGCTTCTGTCGGTTTCTTGTTTGACTTACTCTTTGAGCCTGAAGATGGAGGTCATCCATTCTTCCAAACTGTGTGGCATTACTACCCAGGAGACTGTATCTTCACTATTAAGAAGTGTTTGAATGATAACAAGAAATGAGAAGTAGCCAGTCAGAACCATATACAGTGAAACCCTGATTTAGCATTCTCGCATTTCTTGTGGTCCCAGCATAAGTACCATATGAACAATGTATATTTTCCTGTATTTCATAAATTTTGCTTTAATAAATAGCCCACATTTACTTTAAGAAATGTTCCTTCTTCATTCATTAATTGAGTGTGATCATGGTTGAAATGGCGCCCAATATTCACATTTTCTCTTTGCCACCAATCATCACTCTCAACCATAATCTTTAACAACTGACATTGTGCACTGAATTTTGTCAACAGTATTTCTTTAATTTATTGTTCGTTATGGCATCCATGAACAAGATGATGCTTACAATTACTGAAAAGGTTAGAATTAGAATTAGTAGTTATATATCATTACTGCATAACCCTTATTTAGTGAAATATATATTTTGTATAAGAAAAAATAGTCCCTTAGTTATGTTATTTTACATGAATTCCATGAAGTAAGATGGTTGGCCTCAGTATGGAACATGACAGTATATGCAAAATGCAAGATACTGTTTACTAAATATCTACATACCATATTGGATGCCAGACTTGCACATGCTGAAAGCTGGATATAATGATTCTTGAAGTAGAGTGGATGCAAGGTCTATTCCTGTTTGACCCTTCCCACTGTACAGGTCTACAGGTGATGACATTTTTGGTTTAGGTGCAGCTGGTTCCCATAGCAACATGTCTGTGTTGATTCTACAAAATAACAGGATACTCTTTTGAATACTTTCTATGTAACTTACAATAAATTTTATAGTGATTGTCCTGAACTGGCAACATTTCCATCTTTATACAGAAGACTGTAGCTTCAGCCTTGCTTATACTTCTCTCAAAAAATGTTCTGATATAAATGTTAAACATAAACCATGCTCTCAGATCCTTTCATTTTGTCTCAAATATCTCACATAAGTTTTATACAGTAAACAAAGACTTTGGGCCTACTTTCTTTATTCTGTAATGGAACATGATATCATGATATCATCATGGTCACATGTCTATCCCTCCCTCTATGAAATTTTGAATGAAATGACAAATTTTCATGAAACTTTGTATGAACACTATGCCACAACCAACTCTTGTCAACCTGATACATTTTAATTCTTTGCTATGAATAATACAAACACAGTGGTTACAGATCTACGAGGTGCTTGTGACAATGGTTAAGGCAGAGTCCAGAAATTTTTTGGCACAGAGTATTCAACAAATATGCAATTTTGCTATGGTATATTTTGTAGAATGCAGAATAGCAACATGGGTGACGAATCACTGCAGCTAGGCATGTGAACTCCGAGGATGGAGACAAATCATACATATACTGTAGCATGTAGACCCAATGCTAGGCAACAACCACGAAGCAAATAACTAGACAATGGTTGTTATTAGCAGTTAATGAGAGTCAGTTTAGTTGTGTTGAGTTGGCTGCTTGGTGAGTGACTGAGTAAGTTGGAGAACTGCTGAGGTTCAGTTGTTGTGAGCTGTTGCTCTGAGAAGCTGGTAGCTGAGGTATGGGGACAGTTCGGGAACCAAGAGTAAGGGGAATGTCTGACGTTGGAAGCCGCTACCGAGCAATGGCTAGTGAAAACATGCCTGTGAACACTAGTTTGTGTGTGTGTTTAACAGCGAACTGTAAAGTGTAGTCACATGCTGTATCAGAGGCCAAATAAATTTGATTATCAACCCAAAACCTGTCTACAGTCACATTCCAATCATGTGGCAATACTTACAATTTTTTGTTTCATCCATTTCTTTAAAAGTTAACAATTTCAAGCATGCTGACGGAAGGCAACATTGAGATCATATTCTGAACTGTATAATTCCAAATTTAAAGTTCTTTTTTAATTTTATTACATAGATTGATGCATTTTTAAGGAAAAATAGGCCTTGTTACCTGTTATATATGAGTTCATACAAATGTTTTGAAGACAGCTGCATGCTGGCACAGGGTAGGGTAATTTCTAATTGAATGCGGCTGTTGCGAGAAGCATAATCAATAAAATCTGCCATCTCCTGCTTATCACCAGGTATCATGAGTTCTTCACCTTAAATGTATATAATAAAACATAATTAAAAGTATATATATACCAGAACTAATCCAATCAGCGAAATCTATGCACCTGTTGATGAAACACACAGAAATTTCAACCAGTAATCATAAAATATATCCTCCTAGCTACACACCCAATCTGTGGTTCTATGACACACGAAAATCTGAATATAATAATTTACTCACGAGATAAAAAGGCCACTAGTTGGGTTCTAAAACAATGACAAACATGATACTGTAAGTAAAAATGTGCAGACAAGAATTCCCTGTACCTTCAGCTGCCTGGTTTGATCTTCCGTGAGGCGTGTCACTTTCATGTATCACCTTCTTTGAACTAAATGGTGAAGGTTCTTTCTGACCAGAACTTTCCAGCGTTTCTATTGAAGTCTGCGGTAGACTCTCTTCACCCTCAGTTTCTCCAATGTCATCTAAATCTCCTCTGTTGCTTTCTGGATACACTTGAATCACTATTCTAAAACATACAAACTTAAAAATGAAAGATCTGAAGTTGTCTCAGACGTGATTATGAAGACCACTGTCTTCTGGAATGGGTCACTGTTCTCTTTAGCATACGTGTGTCAATGTGCTGGAGGAACATGGCACCTCCACCTTCATTATAGGTACCCTACTCTTCTTGCTGCTTGACTTACTCTTTGGAGGAAGCAAATTCCTGCAAAATTTTGGCGAATTTTTACCAGACTTCAAAGCATCACATCCCAGCAGACATTCCCCTTCATAATCATGGAAGTGAGAACTTTCAAATCTCGCTATGAACAACATTTCACATTCTAATAACATACATATGAGAAAGTACTGTCATAATGAAAATGAATACTGTGAAAAAAGCAGTCTTCTGGGAATTGGCACCGTGTATATGTGGTGTTACCGAAGTTTCGGAGGAACGTATCGCCTCCATCTTCAGGGTAGAAGAAAAATATAAGAAATCTGCAAGCGAAGAGACCGTCAGATGCAGTCTGAGTTTACCGGTTCTCACAGTCTCTTCGCTTGCAGATTTCTTATATTTTTTCTTCTACCCTGAAGATGGAAGCGATACGTTCCTCCGAAACGTCGGTTAACACCAAATATACACGGTGCCAAATCCCAGAAGACTGCTTTCTTCATAGTCACTGCCGTGAAAGCCTCAAATCTTACAAAATGAATACTGTCGTGTATAGACTCGTTGGGCATGGACCTCGAAACAAATGGGATGGTGGCTTTTGCTCTGCAATGGTGCAGTCAACACGTTCCTGCTGCAATGGTTACATATGCAATGGGTGAAATGGGGTGGTGTCTACATGGTCCATGCCAAGAGGTTACAAAAGGAGAGAAATGAGGTAACCAGTTCAGTTGAGCTCTTCAAGGGAGGTACAGAAAAGACTGTTCTACAGTTGAGAAGAGTTCTGCACAGGTGGCTGTGAAGACAGGACCTCAGAAAGGGAAGCTGAAGAAGCTCCACTGTTAGAATCTGTTGCTAGGTAACAGCTGTTGGAAATATTGCAGGCTGGAGAAGATTTGTAAAGCGTGAAGATCAAAGATATCGCCGTAATTATTTGTAGTTCCAAGTGGTGCGTATAAGTGGTCGATTAATCAATACAATTTTTTTACATCAAAGTCTAAAACTATTAGTATCCTGTACTTGTAAATATGAAGTTTGTTCCTTGTATCATCACTAGAACAAAATTATGGTGGTACTTCATGAACCATGCAACAAAATGTCACACTTAAAATATGTTTTCTAAAGGATGAGTTCTACATACCTGGGCCAGCCAAAACCCTGTCCACCATGTGGGAGTGAATTGCCATTTTTGTCATCTGCTGATGCATAAATGAAAGGCACCAAGGTGGTAGTATCAGCTTCCTAAATATAAAGGGAGATATACTTATTTATATGTAAGGTACACAGTAAGATTAACATGTTTAATCCTTTATATTCCTATGAAGAGAAAAACACGTACACAACTGCATTTGTCAATAATCATCTACTTGCATGCAGCTGCAACATGTCCATGAGCACCCATCATCTTTGCACGTATGAAAGCACCTGTTTAAAAAATTTTGCTTTACACCTAAGACACTAATTTCTTACTTCCAGCTTTCCTTGATGATGAATTCTGTGTACCTGGCAACAGTCCAGAATTCAGTGTCACTTCCTTGTGGTCCTTTGGGACCATTTCTGCACACACCTTCCTCATGTCAAGATCTTCAGTTAAGATTTTCTTAGATGTTTCTATGTTGATGTTCGCTTGCTCTGCTATGCTCCTGACAGTCAGTTGACGATTTTCACGTGCAATATGACAAACCTTTGCAATGTTTTCTTCAGTTCTTCTCGTTGCTGGCCGTCCTGATCTCTCTTCATCAGTGACACTTCCTCTTCCCTCAGAAAANGGCGTGTCACTTTCATGTATCACCTTCTTTGAACTAAATGGTGAAGGTTCTTTCTGACCAGAACTTTCCAGCGTTTCTATTGAAGTCTGCGGTAGACTCTCTTCACCCTCAGTTTCTCCAATGTCATCTAAATCTCCTCTGTTGCTTTCTGGATACACTTGAATCACTATTCTAAAACATACAAACTTAAAAATGAAAGATCTGAAGTTGTCTCAGACGTGATTATGAAGACCACTGTCTTCTGGAATGGGTCACTGTTCTCTTTAGCATACGTGTGTCAATGTGCTGGAGGAACATGGCACCTCCACCTTCATTATAGGTACCCTACTCTTCTTGCTGCTTGACTTACTCTTTGGAGGAAGCAAATTCCTGCAAAATTTTGGCGAATTTTTACCATACTTCAAAGCATCACATCCCAGCAGACATTCCCCTTCATAATCATGGAAGTGAGAACTTTCAAATCTCGCTATGAACAACATTTCACATTCTAATAACATACATATGAGAAAGTACTGTCATAATGAAAATGAATACTGTGAAAAAAGCAGTCTTCTGGGAATTGGCACCGTGTATATGTGGTGTTACCGAAGTTTCGGAGGAACGTATCGCCTCCATCTTCAGGGTAGAAGAAAAATATAAGAAATCTGCAAGCGAAGAGACCGTCAGATGCAGTCTGAGTTTACCGGTTCTCACAGTCTCTTCGCTTGCAGATTTCTTATATTTTTTCTTCTACCCTGAAGATGGAAGCGATACGTTCCTCCGAAACGTCGGTTAACACCAAATATACACGGTGCCAAATCCCAGAAGACTGCTTTCTTCATAGTCACTGCCGTGAAAGCCTCAAATCTTACAAAATGAATACTGTCGTGTATAGACTCGTTGGGCATGGACCTCGAAACAAATGGGATGGTGGCTTTTGCTCTGCAATGGTGCAGTCAACACGTTCCTGCTGCAATGGTTACATATGCAATGGGTGAAATGGGGTGGTGTCTACATGGTCCATGCCAAGAGGTTACAAAAGGAGAGAAATGAGGTAACCAGTTCAGTTGAGCTCTTCAAGGGAGGTACAGAAAAGACTGTTCTACAGTTGAGAAGAGTTCTGCACAGGTGGCTGTGAAGACAGGACCTCAGAAAGGGAAGCTGAAGAATCTCCACTGTTAGAATCTGTTGCTAGGGAACAGCTGTTGGAAATATTGCAGGCTGGAGAAGATTTGTAAAGCGTGAAGATCAAAGATATCGCCGTAATTATTTGTAGTTCCAAGTGGTGCGTATAAGTGGTCGATTAATCAATACAATTTTTTTACATCAAAGTCTAAAACTATTAGTATCCTGTACTTGTAAATATGAAGTTTGTTCCTTGTATCATCACTAGAACAAAATTATGGTGGTACTTCATGAACCATGCAACAAAATGTCACACTTAAAATATGTTTTCTAAAGGATGAGTTCTACATACCTGGGCCAGCCAAAACCCTGTCCACCATGTGGGAGTGAATTGCCATTTTTGTCATCTGCTGATGCATAAATGAAAGGCACCAAGGTGGTAGTATCAGCTTCCTAAATATAAAGGGAGATATACTTATTTATATGTAAGGTACACAGTAAGATTAACATGTTTAATCCTTTATATTCCTATGAAGAGAAAAACACGTACACAACTGCATTTGTCAATAATCATCTACTTGCATGCAGCTGCAACATGTCCATGAGCACCCATCATCTTTGCACGTATGAAAGCACCTGTTTAAAAAATTTTGCTTTACACCTAAGACACTAATTTCTTACTTCCAGCTTTCCTTGATGATGAATTCTGTGTACCTGGCAACAGTCCAGAATTCAGTGTCACTTCCTTGTGGTCCTTTGGGACCATTTCTGCACACACCTTCCTCATGTCAAGATCTTCAGTTAAGATTTTCTTAGATGTTTCTATGTTGATGTTCGCTTGCTCTGCTATGCTCCTGACAGTCAGTTGACGATTTTCACGTGCAATATGACAAACCTTTGCAATGTTTTCTTCAGTTCTTCTCGTTGCTGGCCGTCCTGATCTCTCTTCATCAGTGACACTTCCTCTTCCCTCAGAAAAACATGTCACCCAATTGTAAACTACTGTTTTCTTAAGAGCATTATCCCCATAAACTTGCATTAACACCTCTCTGATTTCACTTCCAGTCTTGCCAAGTTTAACAATAAATTTAATGTTCATTCATTGCTCTAATTCAAGCTCTGGCATTCTCGTGACAGCACACCAAAACACACTCGTACAATAATAGATATCAATCAGAAAGAGGCTGCCATAGATGAGTAACAACACAGCCATGGAATGCTGATATGCCAACGTCATCAAACCTTACTGAGGTTCTGTTTGCTGCTGCCATGGCAAGCACACAGTGGTGAGTTAGTGAACTTTATTGTAAAACCTTGTATATTAGGTAAATACACAAAAGATAGCATGCAGAAGGGACCTTATAATCAAATCTTACTAAGTGTAAAAATGTTATATTTTTTTTATAACAACATTCTCAGCCATAAAAAAACGTAGAAGAAATGAAAGAATTATACATTTCTCCCCCTTCCAAAATTATAAGCAGTAATACATAAAGGAAATACAGGAAGATATATAAATAAAAGCTACAATTCTATACAAAGTCAATTAGACCAAATACTTGGTAGGCTGATGATAATGAATGAACATGTCATACATATACAACTTTTCTTCTTTAAATTATTTACTTACCAACTAGTCTTGCTCTGAGAATTACTTAACTACAATGTACTTACCTGGAATAGTCCACTGATGTCCTTGCACTGAATTTCAAATCTCTTGCAAAGTTCTCGACTGTCTATCAAGGAATGAAATGAGGTATCACTCAATTCAAATACGAGGAAGTCTTTCCTGACTGAGCGCCTCCACCAAGGCGGACGGTCCATGTCATGTATAGGCCGCAGATCTGGGGTAGGAAACCTATTAAAATTAATTTCATTGTGAAGTAAATGTAGGTGATACCAATAATTATGGTTACGATGGGTGGAAAGTTTTCAGAAGTATTCTCCATTCAGATTTCCTGAATCTACTAAATTCTACTGATCACGTTCCTGGATAAGACATGATTTATCTACATGGAAAGCGGCCTCTGTAGTCTAGGGGTAACGTTCCCACCTCATGACTCAAGGTACGCGGGTTCAAACCTGGCAGAGGTCGTGGAATTTTTAAGGGCGGAAAAATTCAGGGAACAAGTCCTCCGGGAGGGACTTTAAGATGTGGGTCCTGTGTCGTAGATTTACAGCACGTAAAAGATCCTCATGTCTCTAGGAGACCTATGAGCTAAATTAGGCAAAAAAAAAATTCCCGGCCAAGTAGTTTCCAACGCCTCTGGTAGATGGGTGAAGTATCAGGTAGAGGGCCGACCTCATTGGCTGAACGGGGCTGATAGGACGCACCAGTACCGGTAGGGTATGGCAACTGGTAGAATATCAAAGGGGGACGTACAATAGACTATTAGTCGTGGTGCATGGGGAAACCCACCCCCTCTAATAATAATAATAATAATAATAATAAAATCTACATGGAAGCAAATGGAACAGATCATGACAGAACTGCTAATTTGCACAGATTATGATAACGAGTAGGCTGGTATCCATGGTGAAAGATGCATGCCCTGGAAAAAATCTGAATTTGCAAGGTCACAAGTTTCCCTTTCACACTGAAATTTACATACAAATTAAAAACCAAATAGGTATTTTGAGCTCAAGTGGAAGTTTCTTTGTATGGATATGTTAAGAAACATAAGAACAGTGACATAATAAGAGGATTTGCATGCCTGTCATACCTGAGCTTCAGTGTGAGCAAGGAACAAGACCCATTTAGATCCATCTTGCTGTCAGACAATGAGGGATTCTCCACAGCTTGATAGAAACAAGACTGATGGTTCTGAAATGGAGATAAAATCAACAATTTTCTCACGTACTTCAAAAATATTTCATATTTGAAGATATTTAATTTTCCTCTACATTTTGCTCTGACAAATGTTTAGGAAGTTCTGATTCATTGCTATTAAAATGAAAGCTTACCACTGAACCCTATACTGAAACACTTCTACCCAATAAATGCACTGATGTTGATGCACATGTCTTCAGGAACAGTATTTGAACATCCTGGCTACTACAAATGTATGAATACACAATCTGATAGCAGCATAAAGGAGGTGGCATTTCCTTTTCGTTTCTAATGACAGAACACTGAAGAGATTGATCACAGCAAAAAATTGGGATTTACAGCAAAATGCAGGATACTGTACAAATAGTTCTGACTTCAAAAGTGATTTGGGCAGAAAACATGTAAAAGAATTTGTATTGAATACAGATGATCTTCAACTCAACGCCTTCTGCACCAGATGTCAAGATAAAATCACTGCAGATATTTCTCATATTCACACTTGAGATATCTATATTCTTACATCTCTCATGTGCCCTGAAGCAAATTTGGTGTTCCTTCTGCAAAGTGGCTGTGGGTTCAGTAAAGCTGTGATACGATCTACAATCGAAACATCAATTTCAGAGCAACAGGGCTGAAGTGTTATCCTGAAAGCAAATATAAACAATTAACACATGTATGTAAGGAGAACTGTTAAAGAAGAACTGGATTATAACGTGTTCCAACATACGAGACATCTGTGCGAGGATGACTGTAACGTTTGGTCTGCCCCTGACGTACTGTCTTCTCTGAGTATTTGAAATGCAACTTCAAATCAGGCTGGGAGGCCAGACAATGTCCAGCCTGTGGATCATCTTCACTCTTAACACTCCGTTGGAATTTCAGCAACTGAAAGACAGGTATCATAAGCTTATGTACTAGGGGACTGCAGGAAATGAGATGACTACACCTATTCCTGTTTTTTTTTTATGATTTCCTTTAGATTTTCCACATGAAACTGATCATCCCACAAGCAGCAGCTGTCACATCTCTCTCTCTGTAGTGCCTATGTGCACAGAGAGAGTGGGAGAGAAATGACACCCCTTAGGAAAAACACTTGGCTGGTTAATGTAATTTGCACTAGCAATAAAAGCTAAATATGAAATCTGAGATTCTGATGGTGTTGGAAATTTATATTGTAGTCTTCTGTGTTATGACACTATGCGGTTTTCCTTATTGGTTACCAATATTTCAGAGGAACTCACTGCCTTCACCTTCTACAATGAGGATGGTGCTGACAGGTTTCTCCAGAATGCTGATAACCACACAAGGTTGCATGATGTCATAACCCACAAGATGGCAACCTAAACTAACACTAAACTTCATCATGAAGTTCTACTTACATTAACATATTCCACATTGGCTGTTTGAGAAGGTGTTTTCTTGTCCACAAGGCACTCCAACACCTCAATGCTAGCAGCTGTCACACTGCCACTCATTAAATTGGCATGCGATGTCTTCTTTTCATTACCTTCCACTATCACTGGTGCTGCCAGGAGCCTGTTATAAACAACTGACATTAAAAAGGAAAACTTTACACTACTGAAGAATAGGCATTCCACAGTAAGAAGTTACACATGCCACCAATATCAGTCTCTGTCACTTAAATCTGGGTGAGTCACCTTAGTCCCAAGTCTTCTCCATATTTCTCTATTTACCATTTAACATTTCTCTTTCATCTATATCTACTCATTAGTTTCTCAATTTTATTTATCTTCCTTCATTCAATTTCTCCACCTAATTCTTTGTTTAAACTTTTTCCTATCTGATGCTCAAGGGAACTCACTTTGTCAGATTTGAGGTTGACACATTGGCGACTAAAAATTACTGCTTTCTGGGATGTGACAGATGTGAACTGGCAGATCATTACCAACATTCCTCCAAAAGAACGGTGAATATCTCCTTCGTTATTCAGCGACATATCCCAGAAGATAGTAATCTTCCAGGAAACCTATCAATGCCGAGGCCAGTCTGGATATGCTGGTACCTACAGTGGTAATGGGGTTGTCCCAGCTCATGGATGTAAGGTTCAGAATTTAGCTGCTACTAACTGCGATCACTCATGGTAGTACACATTATACACACAACTTGTCTGCATTGTGGTAACATTTCACATGTCTATTTGGCACTGAGCATATTGGTCCAGGCAGTAATATATTGGATTTGTATCTTGAATGTGCATGGCTTGAATATCAGCCTGCGTGGTAACTACCCCAATTGAGGTCTGCTGGTCCTTTTCTGTCCCTCATGGTAAATGCTGGGACATTACTTCAAACCAAGCCGTGGCTGTTTCCTTCCACATCCCTTCCAGTACACCGTCACTGTCACAATTATCCTCCACTCAACATTACACAGGCTAAGTTATAAAACAGCGTCCTTAAATAAATCACAAATAAATAAACTGTATCTTGGTAGGTACCTAATATGAATCTTGGCTAGGTTATCAGACACCATGAAGGAGACTTTCCTTGGTTTTCTTCAGCTTCTCCAAGCGAATGCTAGGATACAAATATTATGTCCTTGGATATTATCCATCGTTGTCTTTATGTAAAAACCGTCCTGTTTATTTTCAAAACACAACGTTTCAGAGACTGGCTTCTCTCTCCATCTTCAGGTAAAACCTACTCAGCTGGGCCAAATAGCTAGTCCCTATCTCCGGAACGCTGTGTTTTGAAAAATAAACAGGGCGGTTTTTAGATAAAGACAATGATGGATAATGTCCAAGAACATAATATTTGCACTGATGTACCATCGTCACAAACTTTTAGATCTTAAATGCCAGGATAGTTACCTTGCTATAGACCACAGCCATCTCACTATTAACGTCTATCTTCCCATCTAATTCCATCTTCTACAACCTCAGCTGATGGAACACAACGAGTAACAAGCATCAGCAAATCTATCAATCAGAATACTTGCCTGATATGGTTAAGCTGACATGCGCTAAGAAATGCATTCTTGGCTGCGTTGAAGTCCTTGTTGCCATACCCTGTGACAGCAAACAATCCAAGCTCATCAAAGAAGTCTTTTGAGATGGCTTTCATCTGTTGCACAGACGATCTTGCCAGACTGCTGCCATCGCTTTCAACACACAGCGTTAAAATGTCATCATGAAGTAACACTGTGGCCAAGCTACTTAAACGGATATGAAAGTGGCTTACTTCAGCAGTTGGGTCTGAGTCCAGCACTGAGTTACCAGACTCTGCAACAAGGAAAAGAGTTTCATTTAATATCACACAAGCTCTTGAATTTAAATATTTACAAAATTTAATATGAAAAAATAAATGGCAATAGAAATTTTGGAAGTACAACATGTTGGTTAAATTAATATTAAAATATAGTAGTGGGACATGAATGAGGAGTAAAAAGTGATAAAATAAAAACAGAAGGGTTTGAGTATGCCAAGGACCCTGAGAGCTATACCAGCGGTAGCGTAGCTACTNTTTGGCTGACCAAGTCACAAACAGTCTTACCTACATGTAAACGAAATCGAACCCAGTGCCATGATGAAGGGTTTTATTGTTCAGAGCCAACAACTGGACCTCTGACTTGAACTTGCGTGTGTTTGTTTTGGTTTCAAACTCAACGTCTAACCGTCAGCACTTCTAAAGTGAGCACGTGTCTTGCGTCCAGTATACTGGACTTTCGGCATCTTCGAGGTCACAGTTACCGTCCGGTATACCGGACTTTCGGTCGTTAAAGGTTAATATCCTTGGAGATACATAGATTGAGTGGGATGGGAAGAAGATGAAAAGAAAGAAAGAAATAAAGAGATAAGAAAAGGAGGTGAAATACCTCAGAAAACTGAGGATGATATCACAACTGAAGACTGTTACAGGAAGAGATAGAAAGACTATGTGGATTGAGTTCTGAGGTTCTCACAAAGATGAAGATTACTGCTTTTTTAAGATCTGACCCTCACAGTCTGGTACATATTACCAGACTACATGGTGTAACAACCCAAAGGACAGCAATCTTGATACAGATAGAAACATTGAAGCTAGATGGGTCAAAAATAACAGAATAAATAAACTTACATGGTAAAGATGATACAAAGGTGATGTCATAAAGAGAATTTTGAGACTGGTATGGGCATTAAGAACATATTCCACAAAACCAAGAAGAAAAGTTTTTGTCATGTGATAAATGTGTCAAACTGAACATACAAGGACATACAACCAATCCTTGGTATGCAGTGTTCTTATAAGTGAGTTACACCAATCACAGGTAAAAGCCACAAATACAAAACATTCTGCAATATTAGTCACAGCAAGTAGAAGTAACCATTCTTCAATCTGATAACAGTTGCTTCCTTTGACAACATATAGTAGCTAAAGCTACAAGGGAAATAACATTCAAATTAAGAAATTTAAATGTAATGATGTAACTACACGAAAAAAAGCATGGAATAAACGGGACAGATATAGTTTTTTACACCACAAAAACATCCTGCATCCCTTATTGTTTTTTATGTAAGAGCTGGTATAGTTCAGTAGGTACAGGTGGGATATGGCCTGGATGGCTGGGGTTTGATTTCAATCAAGGGCAAGAGATTTTTCTCTACTTCACAGCATCCAGAACGGCTCTGGGGCCCACCCGGCCTCCCATCCAATGGGAAACAGGGGCTCTTTCCACAGGAAGTAAAGCAGTCGAGTGAAGTGGACCACTTAGTGTCAATGTCAAGAACAGTGGAGCTAATCTCCACCCCCCCACCCCTACATCTCCATGTGGTGCTTAATTAATTGAGAACAGGAAAAAGTTTACTGCTACATTTTCACTCTTTTGAATTTACAACTTTCTAAGCTGCTTGTCCCAAGTCCCTTAAGAAGTTACCTTTATGAGACTTCTTTCTTCTGCGATTTTGAATCCTCTGATGAAATGGTGAATTCTGCATTGTAGCAGATCCAGGGAGACTGCTTCCTGAGAACCTGCAACAGAATTCAAACAACTCTCATGAATGTAATATGAAATGTAGTATCAATCAGACATTAACATGATAAGTTAAAAAGATATATTTCGTATATTTTCACCTATTGGCTAAAGCATGATTTTCTTGTAATTTCTTCAATATTTTTAAATATCATTAAATACTGTGTTCTTTATAACTGATTAACCATCTTTCTAAAGTTAGCTGCACAAAATTTTGAACACCCTTCTCGCTTCTCCCATCTCAGATACGTGTCCAACCTGTCACACCAAGTTCGTCCTTTCAAATTCCTTATAATAGCAGGGCAGGGCAGTTTCCCTGAATTCAGAGAAGCTTACCTCTTATAGGCCTCATATTTATCTTTCATTAAAATTCTTTTATTACTATTCACAGGTACAGTTTCACATTACTCTGTACATTTACTCAAGGTACCTGTGAGAAGGAGAAGAGGCCACAGATCCAGATTTGCTGGCACTGCTGGCTGTTGATGAGATGGAGCCTTCCATACTAGTAGTGTCTGATAACAGACTTTCGCTCATACCTCCACCACGCATAGGTAGAAATTCTTCATCACTGTCATCTGTAAAAGTACAGACTCATTCTCAAGATGGTTATGGAACTTGTAATGGATGATTACTGGTGACAGGAAGTGACATATTAAGTTGTGCCACAAGTCAGGTAATCAGTCACCAACATCTCACTGTGGCAGACTAAGTCACAATATGATGTAATACACTATAAGGAAACTAATTTAAATAAAACATGGCTGGACTTAAATGACCATAATATATAATCATCAAGCATTCATTTCTCCAAATTGGAGTACAACTTTCAACTGATTCATCTCCTTGGGCTTCTCACTCTTCACTTATTCAAATTATAGCTTATTAATTTCTTCAATGCCTGAATGTCACATGAGCCAGGGTAGTGGAGTCAGTATAGTGATTGCCTATGGGCTGAACGACTGAGAGGTCGGAGTTTGAGCCCCACTAGGGTCAAGAATTTTGTCTTTTCCACGTTGTCCAGACCAGACCAGACCAGGGACCCAGCCAGCTTCATAGCCAATGAGTACTGGGGGTTCTTTCCACGGGAGTAAAGCAGCAGGGGCATGAAGCTGACCACTCATCTCCAGCTAGTGCAGAGGTCAAGAAAATGTGGATCTATACATCCACTCCCCTATACGTCTTCATGGCATAGTGCTTAATTAGCTAAGCACAGGGACAGCTTTACCTTTACCTGAATGTCACTTGTGGCCTTTATCTCACACCGCACTGGCTTACCTAATGAAGCAGTAGACCATCCCTGTGTATACTGCAACCCCTTTGTGTGCAATGTTGGCATAGGGTGTAGCTGCTGTTGAAGCTCCTGTTCTACCCTTCGGAAGTCGGCACAATCCATTGGCTTCTCCATGCATCGGGACCTTGGTGCTACATTACTAACAACAAAATAATACTAAAAATACACATAACACAAAACATCATCTAAATTCAAACTAAGAAATCAGCAGCAATGGACACCTGCTAAATTTTATATGCATTTTACACAGAGATAACTCAGGCAAAGATAGTTATCCCTGTGCTTAAATGAGTGCCACACTATGAAGAGCTATGGGGGAGTGGGGATACAACTCCACAGATTCTAAATATCAGTCTTTAATGGAGCGTTCAGCCATTAACATGAACGTCATGAAACTAAAAACTTAAAAAAATACGAAGAAAAAATATATACAATTCATTCCAACAAATGTTTGACCTCAAAGAAATAACACTTCAACATTGACTATTAATGCCAACCCTTTAATTACTTCAAGCATTAATTAAAAAATGAATTAAGCTTCTTTCAACATGAGAAAAGTATAATGAAACAACTTTAATCATATAATTAATATATCTGATGATGACTGTGTGAAGCCAAAACACACTGTGAACAAATAAGTGAATGTACCACGACAGTGAAGATCAAACCAATTGGGATTTTCGTAACATAAACAAATTTGTAAACATTTACAGTAAGATCCTCTGTACAGCTTATGCTCATCAATAAAATTTATCTGTAAAGGAGAATGAACCAGAATAATCTAATTTAAATCCAATTCCTTCTCAATAAATACTCTTATTACCAATGAGCTATTACTGCACACACACAGAAAAGAAAGTGAATTGAACATATCTTTATTATTCATTACATCTGCAGCAGCAAAATTCATTTTATGAAACACAGTCACTCCAGAACAGTACAAGAAATCAATCCAGAGGGGAGAGGGGTGTGCATGCATGTGCGTTTCTGATTACAGAAAGAAACTTTTAATATGCATGTTCTGAGTACTGTGAAATTTCATGAATAACTGGCTATTCTGCGTGGCTTTTCATAGTTTTCCTCAGCCCCTTGTGGAAGATGATCGGACGGTTTCTAATATTAGGCCATGATTCTTCCTCCCACATCCTTTCAATTCATTGATCACTTATCATCCTATTGTTCAGTGCTACAAAGACATGAATAAATGAAAATAAAAATATGAAGAAGGGTTAGTTATCAAACTACGGATGTTTAATGGAACTTGGTGGCCTCCTTAGTCTAGGGGTAACGTTCCCACATCATGACTCAAGGTACGCGGGTTTAAACCCGGTGGTCATGGAATTTTTAAGGGCGGAAAAATTCAGGGAACAAGTCCTCCGGGAGGGACTTTAAGCCATGGGTCCCATGTCGTAGATTTACGGCACGTAAAAGATCCTCATGTCTCTAGGAGACCTCTGAGCAAAATTAGGCAAAATGTTTCCTGCCCAAGTAGTTTCCAATGCCTCCAGTAGATGGGGAAGTTATCGGGTACCAATGCCAGTAGAGGGCCGACCTCGCTGGCAGAAAGGGGAGAGTTATCAGGTACCGCTGCCAGTAGAGGGCCGACCTCGCTGGCAGAAAGTGGAGATAGCGGGCACCAGTATCGGTAGTGTATGGAGGCAGTAGAAATTAAAAAGGGGGACATACAATAGACTATTAGTCACAGTGCATGGGGAAACCCACCCCCTCTATACTGAATAACTGAATAATGGAACTTCGTCTCTGACATTATAAAGGAAGAACAGACTGATGGTGTCTGAGAACAGTGTGCTGAGAATATCTGGAACATAGAGGGATGAAATAATAGACAGTTGGAGACAACTGCACAGTGATGAGTTTCATAACTGGGACTCTTTTGTCATATATAATTAGAATGATCAGGTCAAAGAGGATAAGATGGGCAGGGCATGTAGAATGCATGGGAGCAAGAAGGAATGCATACAGGGTTCTGGTGGGAAAGCTAGAAGGAAAGAGACCAGTAGGAAAGCCTAGACATAGGTGGAAGGATAATATTAAAATGAATTTTAGGGAAATAGGATGGGGTGGTTTAGAGTGGATTCATCTGGTTCAATACAGTGACAACTGGCAGGCTTGTGTGAACACAATACAGAACTTAGGGTTCCATAAAATGTTGGGAAACTGAGTATCTGAACTGGTAGCTTCTCGAAAAGGACCCAGTTCCATGGAGTTAGTTTGCCAGTTAGTTAGTTGGTTAGTTAGGTAAATAGTTACTTAGGCATTTCATCAATATTTCAAAAAAGCACAGTACCTTCCACCGAAGTACTTTCATATGAACCACAACTAATCACAAAACATTATTTAAAATCACAAAACCTTATTTCAAACCACACTGATATTCAATTTTGTCTTACTTGTTTTGTGTAAATTTCCTATACCTGGTATCCTCCAGGTCAGGAGTAGCCAGGCCATGAAGAAGTTCAATTAGAACATGAAGCTGACGAGGAGACAAAAAGGTGGTCAAAGAACCGACGTTCACTTCCAGGTCCACTTTGGGTCCCACAACACCCTCGCTGTGCTTTAGTTTCAGTCGAATTTCCTGACGACCCGCCAGTTTTCCAAACAGGATGGGGTCTGGCTCCAATGATAGGTTAGAATGATGATGAGAGGTCCTTTCATTAATAACAGACTCCTGAATTGAGGCTACGTGAGAGCCACAAGGTGATTGAGAAGCTGGAGTAACAGGAGCTGTTCCAAAATTTGAGTCTGAATTCTGAAAGCCAAACCATAAATAAAATTATGTGCACGCGGTAGCATAGTTGGTTGAGGCACCATGCTACAAGCTGGAAGGTCGTGGGTTCAATTCCCGATGAGGAAGATTTTTTTCAATTGACTTAATCCTTCCAGCCGCACTATGACCCTGGAGTCAACTCAGACTCTTAACAGAAATGAGTACGAGGAATTTTCCTGGGGGGTAAAGGGTGGCCAGCACACAAGGCTGACAACCTTACCGCCATCTATAAGCCGACTGTCTAGAAAATGTGGGAACCTCAATATCTCACAACCCTATGGGCCTCCACAGCCTGTTACAGGGGTACCTGATGGTTTAAGCAGAGGATGAAATACCATATTTGATATAATTCTGTCACTGTCCACCTAGTGACCTAAAATAGTTGGTAACACAAATGTAACTGTATACTTACATCTAATTATATGACAGCAATACTTGATTCTGACCTTAGAATCTGGAGTCGAGCTGCTTGATAGTGACATGACTGATCTGGAGAATGTTCGAGCACGAGATGGGAATTCATCTGTATACATTGTGATACCCTCTAAATAGAACTTTCTGGCAGAAAAAGCTGCTACGTGATACATTTTGTTTCCTTGCTGCAAGTACGTTTCACCAGCAGTTGGATTTGGTGGGTCTGTCCCAGCCTCATCAAAGTAGTCCACACTGCAGAAACAGCAAAATATAAACACAATTAAGTGCCTCCTTAAATTATATTAATTTACATCTGCAAAACAGATCATACACATATATTCAAAGACACTAGGATTTTTAAACACACTTCATTTTTTTCATCCTGTAGATTAATATACAAGTACAATGATACAGGATATGTCAGAGTGAGAAAACAAATATGACAATCATACCTACTGCTCAATATAACAAGAGAGACAGGCAACAACATATGATGCTATTACAGAAAAGTATACAACCTTAAACAAAATTATTCAGTAAAGAATACACAGTCTAGAATGCAAAAGTAAACACAACAGAAAACAGAAGGAATTATGGTAAGTAAAGAAATTATTATTACATTATACTTGTAATTAAAATATACAAATAAACAGTGTAAAATACATAACTTAAACTTACTATGCAAACTATGTACACCATATTTTTCCTTACTTGAGAAACCAATGTTCATGAGATCACTATGGAGATAGTACTGCAATGAATAATAGCAAAATTCTGTGAAAAATTCTTCCAGTTTCCTCTTACAGAGGCAGTCTTTCTGTTTTTGTTCAATGCTGTTAAGTAGTATATTATAAAATTCACATCCTGAAGCTACTACCCGACATTTATAAAGTTTCAGATTGTATCACTGCAGCCGCTAACCTGAGTTGTTTCTTTGTATAATGTCCACTAATAATCACGGCGATTCTAAACTACTGTCAGGGTTTCCATGGCCTATTATTTTTCAAACCAGAAACAACAAAATAAAACTGCTTATATTTTCTCCCGGTCATCATCGTGGTGAGTACAGCAGTGTCAAATAAAACTTTTTGAGTCACTCTTTCATATTCCATATGCAGTTTTATTTTTTCTTTTGTTTTGAAAATTACAGGTCATAGAAACCCCGACAATAATTTCGAATCACACTGTATGTTTCTACTTCCTGAAAGATGTCGAACACAACATAATAGTTAGTTAGTTATTTGGAGAGGGTGGGTTTCCCCATGCACCACGACCAGTTTGATCTATTGTGCTTCCCTCTATGATATTCTACCAGTCTCTTTACCCTACCGATAAATGGTGCGTACCATCAGTCCCACCGAGCAAGCGAGTTCGGCCACTTGCTTAGCGGTGTCTATAATGCTTCCCCCATCTATCGGAGGCCTTAGAGGCTATTGTTGGGTGGGAAACATCCTGGAATTTGGCTCAGTGATCCCCTTTGGGGATATGAGGTTCTTTTACGTGCCGTAAAGTTACGACACGGGACACACAGCTTAAAGTCCCTCCCGGAGGACTTGTTCCCTAAATTTTTCCTCCCTTAAAAATTCGACGACCTCCACCGGGTATTTGAACCCGCGTACCACGAGTCATGAGGTGGGAACGTTACCTCTAGACTACGGAGGCCACTTAACATAAATACTATACACCACTATCTTTATTGTGATGTTTAACACAAACATATGCTTCATATGTGATTCAGAGGTGTTATAATCTATCCTCACCTCAAGTTTCATATTCCTAGCTGTAACATTTCATTAGGTAGTAGCAGCAAATGTACATTTTATGTGGCTGCCCTGTTATCATTTCATATTCTCAAACAACTGACTTTTCCTAAAGTTGCATACCTTCTGAACATCTTACATTGCATAAAATTCAGGATGTTACATTAAATGGCACTACTGTCACATCCACCTCAGAAGAGAAGCGATGTGCAAACCAGACTGGTGACGAGTGGAAATTATACTGACAGTAAAACACCACAGAAAGTAATACGGGCTCAATTACATATCTGGTGCCACAAAAATAACTTAAATACAAAAACTCTAAAGGGCATGAACATAACATTTTATAAAACAATGGCAGTTTCACTTAGGTTGTATAGTTATGATATAGTGACAAAATGAGAATTTGTATTTTAAAATAAAAAGGCTCTTGGGGCATTTCAAACCAGTGACAAGCAGCAAAATGAACAGAAATGAGGCAAATTAAACACCTTTGACCTAAACCAGAAGACAAGAAACAACCGTTCATGTTAAAAGATACCTGAAATAAACATTAAAAGTACAGTGCAAATGGAAAAAGAGATCTATAAAATCTTCTATGGAGATGGACCAATCATAAATGCTCATGAAAATCTGGAATCAAAACACAACAAAAAACATAATTCATTGCACTGAAGAACAAGGAACTGCCAGCAGACTTTATCATCTCTCTGTATTTTGCATATCACTCCCTTTACATTCACTGCTAAACCTGTCCATCTTTTGAAGCTGTCAAGTTTCGTAAAAAAGAAAATAGTCAGCCACTTTTGTTACCTTAATAATTACAAATTTAACAGGAACTGCACAGTGAAACGGTTAAATTAATCACCATTCTCATTGCTATGTCACATTGTCAGCAGGAGTGAATGAGTTCACACTCTTTATGATTTCTCCAGTCTTTATTTTTCTCACTTTACAGCCAGAAGTTCTGGCATAAGGCAGAAAAATGACAAACATTATAATGAGATTTTACACATAAATAAATTCACACAAAAGTGGAACAATGTAAACTGAACCTACAGACCAAAATGGGCAAGTTAAAAAGNAAAAAAAATTAAGCTATCCCTGTAACAGGCTGTGGAGGCCCATGGGGTTGTGAGACGTCGAGGCTCCCACATTTTTTAGACAATCGGCTCATAGGTGGTAGTAAGGTTGTCAGCCCTATGTGCCAGCTGCCCTTTACCCCCAAGAATATTCCAACAATATTCCTGGTACTCATTTCTATTAGACGCTGCGTCGACCCCAAGGCCATAGTGCAGCTGGAAGGATTAGGTAAACTGAAAAAAATCTACCTCATCAGGATTCGATACTGTGACCTTCCGGCTTGTAGTATAGTGCTTCAACCAGCTAAGCTACTGGGTGCCCCCCAAATGGGTAAGAACTGTAGGAATTTATAGTACTTACTTCTTTATTCTGAACTCAACTGCAACTCCAGAGTTACTGTCCTTTGGCACATGCTCTAAACGTATAACAGTATCTGCAAACTTGACTTTTACACGACTCAAAACTGGAAAAGAAATCACGAACTTTCATTACGGCCTGCAATTTTAGGTAACTGCTTCAGAAAACACTTCAGTCTTGTTCAATCTTACATCATCAGATCTGTCTGTACATGTAAGGAGAATATATATGCAATCAGAATACCAAAGAGAGTAAGATTCTGTGGCTTCTATTTACCTAAAAAGCAAAAACAATTAAGTAATTCTAATATATACAGATTTATATGTGTATATATTAGAATTACTGAATTGTTTTTAGGAGAATAGAAGTATTCTTGGGCCCACAAAATTTTACTCTGTTTGGTATTCTGATTGCATATATACACATATAAATCTTAGGAGCCAGGATAGCGTAGTCGGTATAGCGACTGGCTATAGGCTGGATGACCGAGGGGTTGGAGTTCAAGTCCTGGTATAGTCAAGAATTTTCTCTTCTTCACATCGTCCAGACCGGACCTGGGGTCCACCCAACCTCCTATCCAATGGGTACTGGGAGGTAAAGTGGCCGGGGCGTGAAACTGACTACTTACCTCCAGTTAGTGCCGAGGTCAATAAAAAGCGGAACTATATATCCACTCCCCCATGTGACGTCATGGCATAGTGCTTAATTAGTTATGCACAGGGACAACTTTAACTGTTACACATATAAATCTGCAGTTTTCTGTGGTTTAAATTTATGTTCTGATGTGCAGCCTCTGTCTGAAGGTGTTTTTATGGAACCCCAAGGTTCACCACTGTGTACATCAGCACCCTCAATTAGACTCTATCCTGAGCCAGTTAAAATCAGTCCATACAGTTACTCAGAGTATAGCTTATCAAATCAATCTTACTTCTTTTTTTCACAGAAGTTCATTATGAGGTCACGGTTCATATTCATAAGACAAAAGCATTATATTTAAATAACAGACCAGAGTGTCATGTTGTGATGCCATTCCATAAGGCAAAGCTGTCCCTGTGTTTTAATTAATTAAGCACTATGCCATGAAGACATAACAGGGAATGGATGTATAGCTCCACCATTCCTGACCTTGGCACTAGATGGAGATGAGTGGATAGCTTTATGTCCTGCCTGCTTTACTACCAGGGAAATTATCCCCGGTATCCATTTAATAGGAGGCTGGATGGAACCATGGGCTGGTCTCGGGGCTGTGGAGAAGAGAAAAATCTTGCTCCTGCTGGGAATCGAACCCCAGTTGTCCAGCCCATGGCCCGTCACCATACTTAGTTATTCTGGCTTCAGTGCTGTTCTATAATTTGTGTTTACTACATCAGACTGTCACTACACATGACATTGTTTAGTAATCATTACAGTCACAAGTTTCTATAAAAGGTCGACCAACTGGTAGCAACATGTAGCAGCAATACATTACACATAAACTATAACAGTTTATTTCCAACAATGACTGTGTGGTAACAGCTTAATATATTAAATTTAAATTACTCATTATTATAATTAGGTAAACATTTTCTTCTACTTAAATGTCTAAGATTTTGTTTGCACTTAAAATATGATATAAAACCTCAGACAATGCAAATATTAACTCAATTCTTGCAGAATAAAAATATCTGCATTTATTATGTAACAATAATATATCGAAAATAATATTCTATTTCTAGCATAAACATGCAACTTGCACAATTATATTTGGTTGCAACCAATTACTAATGTCAAAATTAAGTGACTAATCAATATAAATTTACATATGAGAACCACATACTGCTGAACAGCATTCACACATATCAAAGACATTCCAATTATGTTCTATTTTAATTTAGCAAAACATGCAACCCGATATAAACACAATTTATAATGGGCATGAAACATACTTGAGTCAATGGCTTGAGCAAAGAGTTCAAGTCCTTCCAATGGCTGAGATTCTTGTGCATCATTTCCGTCCGAGGAACCTTGCTTTAAACATTCCTCAGCAAGCTGCATGCTGCTTGTCATACTACTCCACATGGATTCAAACATGGATGCACCTGAAACAATATTTCGCTTCAAACATGCACTGCCTGCATCATGGGTCAACACTCTTTAATACCAAGCCTAGACAACAACTTTATAATATTTACCACTAAACAATTTTCACTGAATTGAGGGTTTATTTATAGTTACATAACAAATACTGAAACCTAAGAAGATGACTTTTTCTGGTGACACCATGTAATCTGGCAAAGAGCACCAAAATACACACTTCGTATTTATTTTATTTAAAACTGTGAACACAATTAATTTGTGAAACAATAATTAGTATACAAATTATATGGGCTGGAAAATATATATAAGTTCTCATGAAAATTCACAATTAACATACCACTATCAGCCCTTTGTTTGGGCTGTATGGTCAACATTAGGCCCGTCACTTCAACAAAACTTGAATCCCTAAGTAGTGATGACCATGGGATGGACACTGACATCTGTGATATGTATCCATCCACAAATTCAAAAGGTAGATTCTGCTGCTCACCCAACTCATTAAGGGCCTATAAATAGAACACATGTGGTCATGTTATAGTGAAGTCAATATACCATTGTCTCATGCATTTGGGGCATTGTGTTGTTTCCAAAAAAGAATGCAGTTCTGCAAAATACTACCCAACCACCTTTTCAGCAAATTAAACGTGGAAAACGAATGTATATAAATATTTGTATGCTTTAATTGCATAATGTACATAATCGTGTAATTTCTTGTAGTATATTTTCCTTGTTCCAAGCAAACCATGGGTACGTAATGTACAGTATTCTTTAGCATTACAAAGGTACCGTAGTTATAAACAATGGAAATGCGTACCTGCACATCCAACCTAACTTCTGAAACCGTGCCAGTACCATTGTACAGATCTACTGTCAGCTGATCCAAGGTCAATTTTTCTTCCAAAAACTGGCCCAAATACCGCTGCAATAAATATCTACACGCACGTTTCTTTATGCTTTCAGACCATGGCAGGCCCAAGTACCAGGGCATTTTGAATGTATGGAACATTCAGAAGTTAAAATTTGGTGCTTTAAAAACAGCTGTGCTCATTGTCTACCATTGTTCTCCGTCACACTTGCTCCTCTTGTTTGCCCCTTCCTTAGCTGCACATCGCTGCGAAATAAAAGCACAATATGACGTCATTTGTTTTTACCATTACGACCAATTATATGGTCCACAGAGTACAGTAGACTCCAGCTAAATCTTGCGTAAGTGAGCCTTCCGTTAAGTTATCTGCGCAATTGTTCCATGGCTGCAGGAAATTTTGTCATCGGCCCCGCCACGGAATACTACCACAAATTAATAACTACTACAGTTTCCAGCTACAACTTTCCACGGATCAATTTTGCTCTCTTTAATTGGACAAAATACTTGTAAATATCAATTCTGCTATAGGTCTTAATAGTACCAAGTGCCATCTATACTGCAAGTTATACATTTCATGGTACTAATTCCGGCGTCGCTAGCTTAGTGGCGTTCATATTCTCTAGTATTTTCTCTATTCCTCGGGATTACTCGATTTTATGAGTTTCTGTAGATTTTCCGTTGTCCGGTAGCCTATAGAACAAGGGGTTGTTACGTCGATTAGAAAGAGCTAACCTCAGTTATACCATGGTCTCACAAAGCAAATTCATATTTAGTAAACATACCACGAAAGCCAATCCAATTATGAGTCCGCATACTCACTCATGGAGCTGAGCTCTTCTTGACAAACTCCCAATTTTGCAGCTATTCAAGAACTTCACAGCATTTTATGAAACCCATATGTTCATTACCGTGTTCACAAGATCCCTACACTGGTCCCTATCCTGAGCCAGATGAATTCAATACCATACCATATCATCCTATCTCTCTAAGATCCATTTTAATACTGCCCACCCACCTGCGTCTTGGTCTTCCCAGTGGTCTCTTGCCTTCTGGCTTTCCCAACAATATTAAAATGGATCTTAGAGAGAGAGAGGATGGGATGGCATGGATTGGATTCATCTGGCTCAGGATATGGACCAGTGGAGGACTCTTGTGAACACGGTAATAAACCTTCAGGTTCCATAAAATACTGGGAAGTTCTTGAGTGGCTGCACAGTTGGCAGGTTCTCAACAAGGGCTCAGCTCCATGAGTGAGTGATGGACTTAACCTTGAGAGAAGAATATTGGATAAAATTTTGTATGAAGTTGATAGCAGCGATATTGCCCAATAATTACTACAGTCAGTTTTATCACTCCTCTTGTGAACTGGTATAATATTAGACTCCTTCCACTGACTAGGCAATTTTTCCTTATTTAAAATAGAATTAATTAGCTAATGGATCTTAGAACCTAATATTTTGCCTCCTGCTTGAATTCTGCTGGGATCTGACCACTGCCTGTGGATTTATAACTTTTCAATTTTGTAATAGCAATTTCAACCTCAGATGGGCTAGGATTAGTTACTACACGTAGCGGCTCAGCTGTATGTATTTCTATCTGCCTAACATCACTGACCCTATGTACATTCAATAACTGAGAGAAGTAGTTCTTTCATCTATTCAAAATGTGGGAATCTGCAAGCAGATCACCATTCTCATCCTTCACTAAGTTACTTCTAAGTTGGTAACCCCGCTTGAAGTCATTTATTCCTCTATACAGGTCTCTGATATTCTTGTTCTTACTATTTGTTTGCTAGTAGGGTAGTTGGTCTACAAGTAAACACAGAGAAAACTGAGTATATGTTGGTGTCTTGTCACCAAAATGCCAGGCAAAATCATGACATAAAGATAGGTTTAGACATTTTGAAAATGTGGCACAGTTCAGATATTTGGGAATAATGTTAACAAATCAAAACCTGATTCAGGAGGAGATTAAGAGGAGACTGAACTCAGGTAATACTTGCTACCATTCAGTCCAGGACCTTTGTCTTCTCATCTGATGTCTAAAAACATAAAAATTAGAAAATACAAAACTAATTTTACCTGTGGTTCTGTATGGGTGTGAAACTTGGTCTCTGACATTATGGGAGGAACATAGACTGAGGGTTGTTTAAGAACAGGGTGTTGAGAATATGTGAACTGAAGAGAGATGAAGTGACAGGAGGCTGGAGAAAACTGCGTAATGAGAAGCTTCATAACTTATACTCTTCTGCAAGTATAAATAGGATGATCAAGTCAAGGAGGATGAGATGGGCAGGGCATGTAGCACGAATGGTAGAGAAGAGGAATACATATAGGATATTGGTGGAAAAACCGGATGGAAAGACAATGGTGTAGATGTGCGGTCAATATTAAAATGGATCTTAGAGAGCTAGGATGGGATGGTATGGATTGGATTGATCTGGCTCAGAATAGAGACCCGTGGAAGGCTCTTGAGAGCACAGTAATGAACCTTCAGGTTCCATAATATGATGTGAAGTTTTTGAGTAGCTGCACAATTGGCCGCTTCTCAAGAAGGGCTCAGCTCCATGAGTGAGTGAGTGAGTTACTGTTCGTTGCAAGCTCATCAATTTTGTCTTTCGGATATTCCCTCTTTTTATTCTTGAAATGCCTGCTAGTTTAACATTTTTCAGATCATCCCCACATAACTATTAAAAATATCTGGATACTTGTTATTTTACCACAACATGAAACCTCTTCTCTTAAATTCTAATGCTTTTCCACTATCACCGTAACATTCTGCTGGCTCTCTGTGATTAGTTCTGAAGCTAAAGCTAGTGAACACAGACTGCTGGAGAGAATTTTGTTTGGGTCCTTGAAAACATCAGACCTCCTTGCATAGCCAATCAGGTTTACAGTGAACTGAGAAGACAAGACAAGACACAATGAATTGTGTCCAAGTTTCTGAAAATCGTCATTGCCTGTGAGACTGGCAGGTAGACACATCCCTACCCCACCAGTACAACACAACACATTTGGAAACACAACAGATTCAATCACACAGCCACACTATGAGTAACTGCATAGCAATTTTGCTGTATGTTCAAAGACAGCAAGTACATACAAGTTTATGCACTGCAGTTAGCCTAACACTTCTTAGCAGTATGGGAAATAACACACTTGGATACAGTCCACATATGCAAATATAGGTACAGAAATTTGTTGCCATCAGACACATGTTTACATACAGTTAAAAACTTATTAGAAATTGTATTTTAGCATTTTACTGCACTAGTTTAATCACCATGTGGCTGAAGCATGTTGTCTAAGTGGTGATCTGACCAATGACTGGTGAAGTTGCACTTGCTCGAAATAGGATTTAATCTGCAAGGTAGAAGTTTTGAATCACAAGAACTGTCTTTAGTGATATTTTGAATTGCTTACTGTTGGGCAATAAAAATTTATATTTTTTGTCCAAAATTGGGTATAAAGTTTTGTGCCAGCATACTACTCCCTTTTGGTAGGCTGTAACATCTGCAGCTGGTTCATGCTTGTGTCCTGTACTGACTGCATGGAATTCTGAATATTTATGAAACATTTCCAAGTTCTTGAGAGGAAATATTCTTAGAGCCAATAAACACTCCATAGCTAGAAACAGTATATTGAGCCTTTTAAGTGGTTATTTGTTCTTTGTACCTACCTGCCTTGATTCTAAAAATAGTTTTCTGTTAAAGCAACCTTTCTCAATTGGAGGTTCCCTGGGTCCCTAGGGTTGAGCAAGAAATCATGGAAAATATATGTGTGTGTGTGTGTTTATATTAATAACGAACACTAAAGCTATCCATTTCCTATATTTGGAGTTTACATCCTACATAAGAAATAATATTTGCTTATTTCCTTTTTAATCATTAAAATTTTCTGTGGTTTTTCAGTATTTAAACGACTTATTTGACAATTTCAAGGATCTTCATAACATAATAGCAACTAGTATTTAAATTAAGTGGAAATAAGTGTTCCAATATTGAAATAAATAGTTCATTGTAGTCATTTTTATTATTTTTTGGTAACTTGTATAGGAGGGTGCAGTGAATGAGGACAGGCATGAATGGTGGATGGGAATTTGGTGCTTAGCAACACTGTCATGGAGAAATACTGCATGTGCTTGTTGTAAACGCTGTATAAGGTCGAATTTGTAGGTTTGAAGCATTGTGAAATTCTCATATTTTTCTTTTGTGATTTTCTTGTTTAATTATCTATTATGCCATTCTATTTTATATTTTATTAACCCTTGTGTTTTACACAAGTGTCTGATGATCCTATGTGACGATTTTTGAAGAGGAGGCATGTGACAAAATAGGGGAACTTTAGTCCTAGGCATACAGACAGTTCTGTTGGGGATAGTGATGAAATATCACAAACCTCTGACAAATTTCACTGCACTAATGTAACAACACACACATAAAAGGTCTGTCTGTATAATGGAAATTACTTATCAATGGGCTTTACATGGACTGGTGATTCAATTTATGCTCGTCTGTGGCAAATGACTTACAAATGCAACAATTGCTCCAGCAAAATTGAATTGGTTGGGTAGGGCATCCCTACCACCTGAATACATGGGAAGGAGTTTGTGGGAGATGTATGTTCAATTTGTAAACAATGAAGTGGCAGAGAAAGCTCTGTGGAAACACAAGGATAAAAACTAGCCTTTCATGGGTGAAAAAGATGCAGTGTTTGGGACATATGGAAACAGTGGATGTAATCAGTTGACATGGTAGGGATTTGGAATTATATGTTAAAAGGCAAAAGATCCAAAGGACAGCTCAAATCAAGGTGACTTACCTACATGAGTGATGAATAATATAATTAGTAGGAGCAACGTGTGGACTCAAGATGAAACACTGTGGGAGTGAAGATATATTTGAAGGTTTCTCATGCATCATCTAACCACTTTGGGGAAACTGCATTACAGTCTCAGGAGACCAGACTAAGGTGGCTTACCCAAGTGATAATATTACTAATAGAGGAACAGTATGGACAGAGATGCAACATTAAAAATTGTGGCTAGGCAAACATAATTGGAGGCTTATCATCCATAACCCCAACCCTTAGGGAAACAATGCCAGCAGAAGAGCCACAAGCTATTTAAAGGAAATTAAATGCCTGGAGGGTCTTGAAACCAGCAGAATCATGTGTAAGGTAAAGCTGTCCCTGTGCTTAACTGATTAAGCACTGTACCATGGAAATATATGGGAGAGTGAAGGTATAGCTCCACCATTCTTGACTTTGGCACTTGATGAAAGTGAGTGGTCATCTCCATTCCCCAGCTGCTTTACCCCTGGGAAAGAGCCCCCAGTACCCATTGGATAGGAGGCTGGGTGGACCACAGAGCCCATCTGCATGACACAGAGAAGT